AAATCATTGGCTCCCTCCCCCCCCCCCCCAAGTTTTAGCCTGTTAACTCATCAGTTTGGCTAATGCAATACAAAAACAAATAATGTCTGTAATTTCTAATTTAGACGTTACAGGAATAAAAAAAAATTAGTTATAAAATCAACCTTTGCTTTTAACAAAAGTTGTATTCTTAAAAAAATTTCCCTTATACCTCTCCCTCAAAAAATTGGCCCACAAGGAAGGACTTCCCATACTCAGCATGCAAATGGGAAAAACTATGTAAAGGTACACAGGAAGTCAGTAGCTGGAGATTAAAGGGCTCACAGTCAGAGCAAAGGAGGCTAGTGACTTATTACAATCATATTGCTACTGGTCAGTGTATGGTTTGAAAAGTCCAGTTTTCTAATTTGATTCATTGTCTGTGGGTGCAGTGGTCAGTTGGAGCCACAAACAGGATCTTTAAGCTTTAAAAGAGGTGAGTCATGGTTGATAGCACTTGTTCAGGTGAGAAGTTAATGCACCTTTTAAAGTTGAAGTGAAAATGGCTTTAATGGTAAGCTTTGGCTGAAGACCTATGTATGGGGCAGGACACTTCACAGTGTATAGCAGGGCCTTCGGATGAGTTTTTCTCAACAGAAATATGTACTAGTTGGGGCTTTGAGAGAGAGAGAGATGTATTAAAGCAAGACTTAAAACAGAAAGAGGGTGAAAGAGAGAGAGAGAGATATGTATTAAAGCGAGAATTAAGACTAAAAATTAGCTATGTTGAAAGAAGCATCATTTGCTTTCATGAAGTGCATCATTATGACTTGGTCCAATCCAGTCATCTCCCAAAAGCCCGTTTTGTATTATTCTAGTGTGAAAACTTGGGTGGTAATATCTTCATCAAAAATGGCTTCCGTCAGTTCAAGGAAGCTTACCCAAAGTTGATCAATATGATGGTAGACATCTCCGTTAGTGTGTCTTCTACTTGCATATCAAACCATCTTATCCAGGTGGCCATCTTCTTAGATAGCATACCTGTCACCCAGGTAAATTACACATTCACCTGTATGAGGACACTTAAAAGTGGTTATAGCTTTACTTGTGTAATAGAAATAGAATCTTGCTAGGCTTGTGAATGATTGGCAGTTCAAAGGAGAAAGGATAGGAAGTTTCTGTCTGTAATGGTATGATGTGGTATTTCCCCATAAAAGTAAAAAACTTTACATTTCTGAGTTTTTTCTTTCTCTTCAATCAAAATTGATCATGTTTTGTAGATATGGAAAAAGGCTTTTTCACCTGAAACAGACTTGCCTTTTGGATCTTTAAAATCATTTTGTTGAGGTAATGCGTGACTGAGCATCATTTTGGAACTATATTTAATCAGTTTTATGCAAATTTATTGAATAATTACAGTATCAGATCTGAGACGGACACAAATCAGAGTGCTGAGTGAAAATTATGACAGGAGACCCAAAAATTTATCAGATCGCCTTCTTGGGTGGCATATCATATTGCATCATATTATATCACGCCCTGTCATCCAGGGATGAAAGAAGTAGTTTTCAGAACCCATAGATCCTGCAGATATATTTTCAAGTTTTTAACAATAACAGGATGCCTGAGAATGTAGGGTCGGACCATGTCTAGAATACACAAGAAAGGAGAGGGAGAGAGAACAGTCTGCCCTGCCGGATATTTCTTTCATGCTGAGAAATGTTACAGCAGGGGCGTTGAAAAAATAGGTGATATATCTGGCAACATTAAAATGTGTAAAAGGTCCACACCTTTTAGAGCCATATTGAGGACACTGGGATAAGCATAGATAATGGTGCAGTTTGATGTGATGAATTACCAAACACCACAGTGGATTAGAAATTGTAATAGAAAATGTATCTCATGGCACCTTGTGATTAGAGTGACGAGAATGAAAATTTAGCCAGAGGATGGAATCCACCTTGTCTCCCTCGACCACAAGATGACACTGAACAAAATTGTGTTAAAGAAGAGGAGACATGATTTTGGATATGTTGTTTGAGTAATAGCAGCACATTATTAAGTTGCTCTGAGGCCGTTGTAGGAAGATTACATTTAACTGTGTGAACATGGTATTTGGACTGCCATAGGAGTTGTATGGCTGAATTATTCCACAGATTAACCTGGTATAATCTTTGCGTAATCTTCGGCTAGGAGTCTACATTTCACACGAACTAACTTTGACAAAGGGATTGAGTTTCCACAAGGTGAAACTCTTTGGACTTCAAAAGAAATACAAAATGTACCGATAATGCTGCTTCATTTGTGACCCATCGTCCATGGAAGATTTAAAACAGCCATCATAGTGGATCAGGAGATTATGAGGAGATTTAACTGTAAGGGCCACATTCCTTTCAAGGTGAACCTGGGTCGCTAAATACCTGTGTGTAAACAGTCCTATGCTGCTGTGCACCCTGCAAGTTGCCAGTGTAAAAAGAGAATTTCAAAATGATTCACAAACTGGGAGGAGCCACATACTGGGTGGAATAAAGGACATACAGAGACTTCTGTTTGAATAGAAATTCAGAAGCTCCGACTTCAAAGATGCTGCGCACTGCTTGACGACAGAGTCATTTCAAATGCATGAGCATTATTTGATGTGAAAAAGGATGAGGCTTTATTGCAAGACGTCTTTGATGTTTTCTTGGATTTCATACCTGGAATTTACCTGGGAGCTGAAAGAACATTACCTGGATTAGAGAAAGTACATTGGAACACATGGTTTATATTTTTATCCTCATTGCAAGCTGTTTGAGTTTTATTCCTTTGATATTGTGAAGAGGCATTCATTGAATTAAGGAAGACAAGTTCCAACGTGCAGCACAAGATTTGAAATTACTTCTGCTTCTGCAAGGAGATAAACATTTCTACTGACATTTTTTTCCTTTTTTAATGGAGATGGATAATATTACCTCACAAATGAAAATGAATGGCAGCACAGTAATAATTTGTTCATAATGCAAATGTGGTAAAACTTTATAAGCTCAGTATGGAACTGAAATATTTATATAAATAAATAGCATTGAAATAGCATAATTAAAATAAAATTTTAAAAAACTGATACCCGAATCAGTAATTTGAACCTCAGGGTAACCCTTGCCCAAATTTGGTCAAGTGTTGAGGTCATCCCCATTGTCATCATTGTCATTAACATTTTATCAGCCTACGCAGAAGATGATTCAAGATGTTGATTACAAGATGGCAGGACCTATAATTAGAATCAGGATGCTATGTAGGTCACTTATGCAGGCACACACAGTTATGCAGCTCATTCATAACGCTGGAGTTAAGCCAGTGCACAATGAAGCGAGAGAGGCAGTTTTGAAAGTCTTCTAGGAACTATAGTTTCTCTATTATAAGTCTGCTGCAAGGAGATCCCACCATGAAACAGGTTGGTAGTCATCTGGAACAGGAATACCTTGACGTCAAAGAAGATGGAATTTGAATCTTGAGATAACCAGATCTTCATGTCAGTTTTTTTTTTTTTTCTTTTCAATTTAGAAAATTGATGAAAAAGTGCATTCACTTATGTAAGGACTAGGATAGAAGATTAAATTTGGGTCCTAGGTAAGGATAGACCCTAAATGTGTAACTTAATTAATGTAAAAATCAATTTATGGCTTTACATATTTAGATAAGGTAATGAATGAGTGTGTTACACATACTGTGTACATATTTTGTTCTGCATTTTTGCAACACTAGATGAGAACAGTAGGTCTGCTAGAATCTTTTGTATGTGTTCAAATGGATTTTGCCAAGTGCCTTTTAGGGTGGGACTCCTAAGTAGTAAGTTTACATCGTTCAGTTTTGAACAGTATAATACTATAACACCTGCAATAACCACATCCAACTTACTGACAGCCATATTGTCATAATTCACGATAATCTTTCATTAATTTCCACCCAGCTTAATCCTGTTTGTCAAGTGCAAGTGCTCAGATTGTGGACAACACACTTAAAAACATCCAATTATATTCCATTATCTAAGTGACCTCAATTGCGATAAAACGGTCATTTTAATGATATTGACCGATATAACTGATATGGGAGCATTCCTGTGGTCAAGTGCTCACTCCAGCCACATACCAATGTAATGTCCAGTCAATTCCCATTGGTCAGCATGGTCAGTCTGGTCAGTAGTTTCCTTGTGGGTGCCCATGTCCATTTTGTCCCTAATGTCACAGTTTGACTCCCAGATCTTTTATCAGTCTGCGAGGGATGTATGAGAAACATTTTTTGAAGTTGGCAAGTATCAGAATATTGACGAATCCGTTTCACTGTATGTTTGTGAATATTTATTACGGTTAAGTTTGATTTATTTTGCAAAAATAATGGAAAAATAGAAATGAGGGCGTGCATCCTAGGACTGTGCAAAAGAGGTAGGAAGCAATGTCAAGCTTGATAAAGATGTACGTGAATTATGTCGCGTGGTGATCTCCTGTACCCCAAGTTTCAGAGATTGTCGGAAACTTTTTATTAGTGAACATATGCTGATGGTAGAGGTTAATTGTTAATGAATCCTGAAACTCATGGTGATCCATTTCGGAAAATTAATTATATTTCTGTATCAGTGTTAGAGATAAAGATGTTCTTGAGGAGGGAAAATTAAATTGTGAAATCATCAGATTTTACAAGTGAGACAGGTGATCACACCATGGCACCCTGTGGTGATACAAGCTGCTGTAGCCCCCACCCTGAGTTTGTCATTACAAGGCACTAATGGTTTTATACCAGCAGGCCTCTGCTATTTGCAGTCAGTGGTATATGGTACCCAGGGTGTTAGGGCACCTGCTTTATGGTAGTACTAGACTATGATTAGAAAACAGATGCCTTGGCCTGAGGAGAATGAGAGAGAGAGTAAATAGAATTCAATTAGATGTATAAAACCATTTCAAACTGTGCACTGATCTTGGGAGATGTCTTATTCTGAAAAGAAGAAGGATCAGAAAAAGAAGAAGAGATTTAGTGAAAATTTATTGAAAAGGGGAAGAACTAACTTTTAAATAAAATTCCTCTCATTAAGTGCCTTTCACAGTCTCATTTCTTCCTATGGCTTGTGCCCTGAGACAGATGACATGGAAAAGCTCTAGTGACTCCAGAGAACCACCAGTGTCTTGTGTCATAAACTTTGTCTTCAGTAGTGACAGGTGGCACAGACTAGATATGATGTCTCCAGAGAAATACAGGTGTTTTTGTTTCTTCCACATGGTGGACTTGTGATACCCCAAGTAATATTTTATTATTGTTTCTGAAATGACATCTCATGGCCCAGGGGAAATATTTGAACTTACTGGAGAAGTCACTTAAAAAAGACTGTCAGGAAAATGAAAGTATCCTTACATATGTTAATGTGCTTTAATTTAAGGCTGTGTGGTAGGACTTAAGGCTTTGTGAGTGTGTACAGATACGTACACACAAGCATGCATGTGTATGAATGCATGTGATCATACAGATGCATTTCAGTGCATGCATGCATGCACGCACGTTCGCGCGCACACACACACACACACACACACACACACCAGTATATCCTGTATGATTCATTAAAAAAGGAAATTCTTCAGGCCATGCATTCCTCTCTGGCTGATCCCGTTGTCACCGATTTAATTTTCTTTGTTGTAAATTTTTATAATCACCTGTCTTTTACTACAGGCAAGTTAAGCCTCTTCATTATAACTATTCTTAAGACAGGTATGAGCACTTTGTTACTATTGAAATGAACAGATGTTAGGAATACAGGTGAGAAGTTTTTTTGTCAGATATTTTAAGTATTACTCATTTGATTTAGCTAATTTATATGAAAATGGCACGTTTCTTGCAAGTTAATGGGTTAGTTTTTTGTTTCCACAGCAATCTAATCTCCTCAGTGACTTATAGTCTAAAAAGTTGACAAGAAAATTGGAACGAGATGGATGATTATGATAATAGTGTTAGCTTTCTAACAAAGCTAGGCAGGAAAAAAGTTTTAGGAACTCCCACTGTTTAAACTGAAAAGACAAGTTCCCACTTGAACTTTGATGAACCTCTTCTTGAATGTTTGCTGAAGAAAAATATGTCAATATTTCACTGTTGTGTGGGAATTAACAAGTCCTTAAGGTGGAGATTTCAGGAATTCTTGGCTACTTGTTCTCAAGTTTAATCGTTGAAGGATTATTCCGAAGAAGGTCATTTTTTATTTGTCTTCTCTCAATTCTTTTGTCTTGGTTAACTTTGAAGTCTGTTCCTCAAGTTTTAGGCTTGAAGACACAAGTGAATGTTAATAGGTACATCAGATATGGGACCCAAGATTTTATGACTTTAAACTCTGGGTTATTATGTGTAATGGCAGGTGAAAATTAGTGCACCTTTGATGAACACCACCATGTTTGCATACTATATATTCATACCTGGTTTATTTTTGGAGTTGGTATTTTCAGTATCCCCAAGTGTCTTTCTTACTTGCTTCCTAATCATATGTGCCAAATCTGACACATACATAGATGTTGATGGTGCTCTAAAACTAAGGGTAGGAGTTTGGGACTTATTTATGGTTAATACCTTGTCCGTTCATATGTAAACAGATTTACTGGCATCATGAAATCAGAGCCTAACGTTCTAAAGCCTGGGCTACTGGTCCTGTAAAACCAAAAGGGTCTAAGGATGTTCTGGCCCAAATCAGATAAAAGTGGCAAATTACTGAACAAAATTTTAAAATTTTACAACCCAGGATTCAGTTTTACTGGTTTTTTGGAAGGGGCTAGTGATTGCATGATACAGTGATCAAGAGATTTTGCCTAGTAGAAATTTTAGCAAAGGCGGAACCCTGTCTCTAGCGCTGTAGCTTTATTTTGTCACATTTTGTTGTATTGAATAGTGGGCTGGACGTCGCAGAAGCTATCAGGTTTTTGATTTACTACATTTGCTCATTTCAGGTTATAAATTATTTATTCTCTGAAAATACAAACTGACAGTGTTTTTGTTTTTTCTATGAGCTTTGCCATTCAGCTGATTCCTAAATCTTGCTCTCCTTCATTTCAGGTTCTATATAGAAAGTATAGCCTACCTCAGAGACAAAGTGACAGTGGAATTATTTTATCTGCAGGCAAAACAAGCAATTTTTAAGGTTAGTTATGAGATGGGTTAGGTTTTACTGTGTTTTTGTGTGCTTATGTATCACTCTTTAAATTATTTCTGATCTGCTGCTGTTTGCTGCTCACTCTGTCCTCTCTCTCTCTCTCTCTCTCTCTCTCTCTCTCTCTCTCTGGAATAGATGGATCAAATTAATGGTTCACATTTTCACTAATATGGAAATTGATTGGCAAGTTGAGCTATCAGAGAAAATCTGCATAGAGCACTCTTAAAATGCATTTGCTGTCAACTGAAGAGCAGTGAACTTTTAATTGAATCATAGAGCACTTGTCAGAGCACATCAGTATTCAGTGATTCTCTTACTTTTCACACATTTCAGTTGAATTCTGCAAAAAATGCCTATTAATTTAGCCCCCACACCCCCACCACCCCCATAGAATTTAAAAAATAAAAAAAAATTATAAGCCAAATGAATGAAAGAAAGAAAAAAAAAACAATTTTAAAAGCAAATTCCAGTGGTGTTACTAAGCTGATGTATTATCGTGACGTTTGCTTGTTGTTATAAGTAGAAATATTGATAAATGGCACTCGCATCAAAAGATGTTGTATAATATTATGTATATATTTGTTGCTATGGGTATTTTAGGGTACAGTCGAGTGTGACAGCGAGACAGCTTTTGAGCTAGCAGCGCATGTGTTGCAGGCAGCACATGGAGATTACGAAGAGTAAGTATGAAATCATATGTGCATGTATGCATATATACATATTCTGATAGGGGTGAGATTAAACTGAATGTGTCAGTTGAATATAATCTTCGTAAGTTTCCCTACAGCTATTGGTGAAAGTGTAGTTACTAATGCCAAATCCCAGTATTCTAATATTGGAAGTTTTGTCATCATTGCACAGATATTTTCAGAACATCTTTTGACACTGAAAAATTTATCTGTCACATAGACTAAATACAAGTCTTCAGTACAAAAAAGTAGGGCTTGGCTGCTGGAGTTTTAACATAACAGGATCCCCATTATGAATAATTCAGTGTTTCTGATGACACTATCAGTGTTTTCTGCCTAGGCATAGTGACTCATGGATTCCGCGGGGGATCCCGAGGTTTTAAAACACATTGCTGGTATGGGATAATGAGTAGTAGAAGTGAGATATGTGATAATTGTGGGAAATCTTCCTGACTCCAGTAATTACAATCATTTTTTAAACACCATAGTCATTCCAATTAATTGAAGCCTGCAGCACAGTCAAGCAGATCTATCAAATTAAAATTTTTAAAATCTTTCATCTTCTAACATTTGTACCTGAAGTCGGGTTTTATTTGGTTTGGACTTTTAGCTTGGTCTTGGTTTGTATCATTTTTTTCTTCCAACTGAAACATGCTAAAATCTAATATAGAAATCAAATCATTTCTTGTGTGTATTCAACTGATTTATTACTTAAATTGTCTTTAGGGAAGTCTGATCAGTTTTGTTCAAATTAATTGAGAAATTACTCCGCCTTACCTTAAATGGTTAACACAAAAAGTACCTAAGGTATTCTCCAAAATATGCTACTATTCTTAGCTGACGAGTTTCACCAGCAATGCGTGACATTAGATTGAGTTTTAGCAGTGTGACATGTTTATAAAGTCAAGTTATAATGCACAGAGGAAAAGAGAACAGGGTGGAATGGTTTCACGAGAACTTAAGCAATTAGTTTCAAAGGCAGCCATTTCCAAATGTTTTGAAGCAATACATTTTCTATTTAATTGATAATGGGGTAAATGTGCCTTTCTCGGAGCATATCCATCATTGCTGTCGGCTCTCTTAGATTTTATTCTTATAATAACCAAGGGCAGAGTGGAGGAAGATTTGCTGCATGCATGAAGACTAATGACAATTTTAAAGTCCTTACACCACCATCATGCACACTTGCACTTGATCACACATGCACATACGCGTGCACGGAGAGAGAATAGGGGATAAAAAACACTAGTCTTGCGCACATAAGCCTAGTCTGAATATGCTTGCAATATTAATGAGCAATTAGGATTGTTACCCCCCCCCCCCCTCACCAATGCCTGCTGTACTTTTTGTTATAATTTTTTACAAAACAGATGAATCATTTCCTGCAGAAATAATTGTTTTGCTGTTTTTGTGCTGACAACCAAATGACTAACAGCCAATACATAAGTCTGACTTTGTTCTTGGATCTAGATCATTTATGGGAAATTAATGTGTAAATTTAAGTCTAAATTCTGCAAAGTCATAATGAGGATAGGTTTTGTGCATTCAGAATACATACTATATTGGGCTTGCTTAGGATTATTCTGGATACTTCTTGTATTGCAACACATTTTTTCCCTGAGCCAAGTTCAAATTTACTTGCAAGATTCATTTGTAAAAGGCATATTTGCCCAGGGGCAGGTGTTCATACTGAACTGTATGATTCATTGAATTCTTGAGATCTATCCCTCTCTTTGTTTTATTTGTAAGTTGTTTTTTGCACTAGTTTCCAGTAATTACTGTACTTTTCAGGGGTTGTTAGAGGCATCAGTTGTGTGAAGTCTGGTTCAGCATTGTCCTGGGACTTCATATTTTACTGAGAGTGGCCACCATTTACTGTTTCAAGTATCATTTGTGTTCCTATAATTCCTTTTGTCTTGGTTTTATTGCCCATGTATTAGCTTGATGGATAGAATTTTTTTCTATTTTCATACCAAATCATCAATTACCAATATGTCACCAGTGTTTGTAAAAATTAATTTCCTGGAAGGAATCGTAAAGTTGGGCACAATAGCCCATTGATGTCGCCAGATAAAATGTTTTTTGATGTTGAATGGGATTGCCTGTTATAGATATTAAATGAAATTGATGGAAGCAGTCTTTTTTCTTTTCTTTATATTGGAAGGGATTTTTTTCAGTTGTTGAAAAGTAAACCACTGGAAATTTCCCGAAATTATCATTAAATAAAGCATTGCGGTCAGCTGACATTTCAGTATGGTGTGTGTTATGCTGTGCTGTTACTGGAGTTTGCTTGTTATGACATTCAAGAAAGGGAGATATGGGATATACAGTCACCATGCTCTTGTGCTAAATATTACACAGATTATTATTATTATTGCGGCGCATATCAAATTTTAATAAACATAAAACACTGCAATTTTGAGCAATTCATAATTCACGAAATCCTGTGAGTAGAAGATCTATCTGTCAGATGAGAGCCATTCAGAAGTCATTTTCTGAGTTCTATGCTCGATTAACCCTCCTATTAAGTGCTACTTCGTCTGGCAACTACAAAGACAATGGCGGCAGGAGTAGTTTGTTATATCAGTTTGGTGAGTTAGTGTTTAGTGCGTTGCATATATATGTGCGTTTGGTGTGTCTGATGGAGAAAAATAAGACTCTGACAAAAAAATCTGCATAACGCCCAAACCGTTGTTAGATTTAGATGGCAGTATTGGTTGGTCTGGCAACAGTGGAGACATCTACATCGGAGGTAATTCGTCATAGAAATGTAGGGGGGCTGGACAGAGTCCAATGCACTGGATACGTGATCTGTATTCAAATGTTTCCATATGAAGTTTTGAAAATCAGTTTGTTAGCAGTTGAGGTGAATGAGTGTATACCATTTTTACATTAGTTTTGAAGTGAAGCTCGTCTGTCTTATGTCTTATTTTAAGGCTGTGTTGACTTGAATTTTGGTATTAAGAAGAGTTGTCGGAGCTTTTTTTTTTTTTTTTTCACCAGTAAGCTTACTTTACACACTATAAATGTTGTACCAACAAGCTGTTTCAGGTGTATTCATATTGTAATAGCATTCATGTTAATCACAGAAATGAGGGTGTTTAACTATTTTGGCAAATTATTTCCATTATTCAGCCGCCAGTATATCTTATATATCTTAATTTACAATACTGGCAAAGGCAATCACTTGATTTAATGAAGTGAATAAATCTCTTTTGAATTGTGTTTAAATGGTTCATTTTGGCTGTTTTCCCACAGGTGGTAGATCTGCAGCTTGGCTAAAAAATCTGAGATGATATTTTAGTGCTGTTATCTCCATTGTATCTTTTATCTTTAGTCTTTAGGTGAATAACACTGAAGCCAGCTAATTGCTGATATCTGTTTAGTACTACATGGATATCTAATGATGTTTTTGATTATATTTTCAGCGATGATATAACTCGTAGTCAGCTAAAGAAACTTCCTGTTCTCCCAACCAGTATATTTAAGGACCATCCTTCTATACAGTACTGGTGAGTTCTAATGGTTTGGTGTAGTAATTATTATAATAATAGTGATTATGCTGTGAATGTCAATTTAGATATTTGTTTTGTGACATACGTGTAATTTACTGCTCAAGTAGACAGTGGAATAAAAAGAAAGAAATGGATGAATATTTATCTTTAAGATGAGGAATTGATATATTTACTGTTCAAAAAATAAAAGCCAGATGGAGCAAACTTCTTACCTGCTGTTTTTTCTGTAAAAGAAAATACAGGTATTAGAAATTTGTAACTTAAGTGTATTTCTCTTTGTAAACTGTCAACAAAACTAAAGCCATCTTATTTCTAAAGGATTTCTCATTCAGGAGGCACACTGAGATAGAGTGAAGAAGTGAGTGTTTTAAAATTGTTTATAAAAATTGTCAAAGATTTAAGAAAATATTTTCATTTTCCAGTGAGGATAGAGTTATAGACCATTATAAGAAGTTATCAGGGCAGTCCAGGGGGTCAGCTATTGTGAAGTAAGTACAGCTGTCACATTGCAACACAGGGTCTTAACTAACGCAATGTGATAGAACACTTTCCTAATTTAAAAAATATATATATATACAATTTCATTTGAACAGGACGTGCTTCAACTCCATCGGATATTTGCCAGGTATTAGAAGTAAATTCTCTACATTAGACATTTTATAAGCCCCCCCCCTCCCCCCAATGCTCATGTCTAAAACATTTACATGATAGATTAAGTCACAAGGTGCTTCACAGCTGGGTTGGAACATTCATCTTGCAATATTGATGTATTTTGCTCAAGTTGTGTAATATTCCATCACATGGCACACCTGCTACCCACGGGGAGCTTAGTACTCATGGTGAGATATTATGTGGCATTATGGTATGTGTTGGCAATTACTCGACAGATTTGATTTCGTATTCCTTTTTTCCTCAAAAACTATTTTGGGATAGTAGTATTTAAAAAAAAAAAAAGAATTTGAAATACCAGAATAAAAGCTTGGTTCAAGGAAGAAAAAACAAAAATGCATAAATCTTGGAAAAAAATAGATACTGTAAAATGTAAGGTGTTTAAAATTTGTCGTTACTGAGCATGCATTCATGAATTGAACTAACTTATTATGTGGTCTTACATCCATATTTATAGAAAGATTACTTCTTGGATTAGGACTTAGAAAGAGATCCAAGATGATTAAATAACAGTGGAATTACTATGAAACTTTCTGGAACATTATTTATTTATTTACTAAAACAGCAAAATTTCTTTCTTTCTTATTACATTGCATTGTGAGAGCAAAGTGCAAAGATAGCTATGAATTGATTTATTAGAACATCGCATAAAAATTTTTGATGAGTTTTAGATTGCTTTAAGCAGGAAGCATTCATTATGTGATAATGGAAATAGAAATAATGGAAATAGAGATCAGTCTAAATCTGTGGTGTTAGATGCTTTGATAATTTCTCTGGCATGATAATTAGTCTGCTAGGTAGCAAGGAAAGAAAAAAGATTGTATTTTGATTGTACAGTCTAATTGATGAAAATATGGAAAATTTGACTAAAATTAATATAGTTTTATTGTAAAATAATTTCGGCCATCCAGCAAAAAGAAAAAAAAAAAAAAGCAAATTAGGGGTGGCACAGGGCATACTCTTTGGTGATTCCCTATTAAAACATGTACAGTCAGGTAAAGCTGTCAGATGAAATTGAGTGTAATGTACGCTATAATGTAGATTTCATTGCATGGTTCATTTCATGTGACAGCTTGCTATATGAGGCAATTTAAAAGTTATGAATATTGATGAGCAACAATGAGACACTGTTGCTTGTAGAAAGTGGCTAGTTCTTCAAAAGGATTTGACTGGATAT